AGCTCAAAACTAAATATTTAACTTGTGACTTAAATATTTAGTTTTGAGCTAAATATTTAGCTTGAAACTTATATATTTAGCTAGCAACTTAAATATTTAACTTAAATATTTAGGTAGCAAGTTTATACTTAGCTCAAAGCTAAATATTTAAGTCACAAGTTAAATATTTAGCTTGTGACTTAAATATTTAGTTTTGAGCTAAATATTTAGCTTGAAACTTAAATATTTAGCTTGAAACTTAAATATTTAGCTAGCTACCTAAATATTTAAGTTGCAACCTAAATATGTAGGTAGCTAGCTAAATATTTAACTTAAATATTTAAGTTGCAACCTAAATATTTAGCTCAAAACTAAATATTTAAGTCAGCAAGTTGTGTTTAGCTTGTTAACTAAATATTTAATTTGTAAGTTAAATATTTAGTTTATAAACTATGACATTTATAAATGTTTGAATCATACGGTGAAAACTGACTTTGAAAAATATAAAATGTTCATATATTTCTTATAAAAGGCTAAATAAAACAAAAATATTGGTGGTAATTTTTGACTGTGTAACTTTACAAACGGCACCCCATTTACCTCATCACTCTGCAAAATGTTTACAGTTTTCTGTAACGCAAAACTCTGCATTGATTTTTAAACCAATTAGCATTTCTTTCTTGGGTTTTGAATCACTTTTCATTCCGCAGAAAGAGGTTTTTGCAGCTGAAACTGGACCCAAAACAAGCATGCAAATCAATCCTGCTATTCTTAGAAGTGACAACAGTCCCATTTTCTGACACGGGCATAGTGAAACTGTAAAGCAATACTTGGATTGTTTTTTTAATCTATTCTTGTGAAAAAATAAAATAAAACTGATGAAAGTCATTATGTAGAATTATGAATTCAATTTGTAGGCAATATTCAAACTTGAGATCTAAACTTATGAACAAAGAAAAACTTTTGGCACATTTTGTTCCTATCTGTCTTTTCTTAAGCAGCCAAATGCATTGGGTCTGTAAAACCAGGCCAAGCTGCTCTTAAAATGTCTGCAGGGGCATGAGATTTATCACACCACCTGTACACCAGTAAAAAGAGATCATTCGCTCCGCTTCCATCATACATCAACTCGATGTCAAACTAGGAGGTCTACCAATTGACGCAGCGCACTTCCTGTATTTTTATCCTCCACTCTGTTCTTACAGAGGAATTTATCAGTTTTATGCAGCAGCACAGATGTCCTGTCAGCTGCAGAGATGGCTAACAATATAAAGCCACAGTTAGTGTCACATTTGCATAAATGCACAGGCAAAACTTGCGTTGACTCAAGGACAAAGTTAATTTTAAACATGGATGTAGTTTGGATGCAAGATGACGTCCGACTGAGTAAAAGCTGCGGGAGACAAAGCTGGCCCAAATGAAGCTCGAAGTGGGCCGGTACTCACCAGGCTGGCACGCTGAAATCTTCTTCTTCAGCATTTTAACAGCATAACCCTACCTCTGCCGGTGAGCAGGTTTCAGTTTCATTAACTGTACGACAGCTGAATCTTATAAACCACATTACCCACAGGGCAGTAAACAGGAAGTCATGGCTTACACTGCTTTTGGTTGGGTCAAATACAGGAACTCACTAAATCATTACTGTGCGGAAACAGTAAACTTAAAATTACAGTAACTTTTTTTGTCTCACTTCTAATCACATCAAAAATCMCATTTGTCATTTTAATATAATTTGCTTCAGTAATTAAAGAAAAGTCGCTTTAGCTGAAGCCACACTAACATCTGATAATTCTTTAAACAGAGGAAGTTTCAACAGAATAAACTTTGATTCAGTGAGAGCGAGGATTCACACAATGCTCGAACACTCTTAAATCAATTGTGTAATGTAGTTTTTTTTTCCTCCTGATTGCCCTGCATGGGTTGACTGTTTGACTAATACAGTGTGAAGAGAAGAAAAAACAGGGAATGTTTCCTTGTTCAAAGAAGCAGCAACTTTGATTTAGATTCAAAGAGGCTGTTCCTTTGAAAACTGAGACCTTTACCCAACATTAACTTGAATCAGAACTCAGCATTTTTCACTTTTGAACCAACCCATGCTCTACTGGAATACAATATAAATATTATTTTTATAACGTACTGCTTAATTTCAGAATTTTCCTCTGAAAGCACCAAAGACAAACCCTAACCATGATCCTGCTATGTCTTAATCATATAAACCAAGAAGTAATTTTTTATATATGTTTTGTCTCAAAAGTCTCTCTGAAAACCCACCATGCAGTGGTGTTCTGACAATAAACCCATCAAACATTCATTCATCAACTAAGTCAAGCTTGGAAGTAGGAGGGTAGGAACCATTCTGCTATTACCTGATGACAGAGGGATTGGGAAGTTGATGCACAACACTTGAGTCAGTGGATGATGGTGCCACCCAAACATGGGAGAATCTGTGCAAAACTGAGAGACATAAAAGCCAGAAAGGCAGCCGGTAAGGAAGTGAACTTTTTACTGCTTTATGCATTGTTTGTTTGTGAGATGCTGCAGCTGATGCAGGTACAGAGCTGATTAATCAGAAGGGTGTGGCTCAAACATTTCTGATCAGTGACTTTTGTCAGGCTTGGTTTGCAACAATTTGTTGGCAGCAAACAAAACAACCTAAACATTCAAAACAAAACAAGTCATAAATGAAATGAAACAAAGCAGAAAGAAGAAATAAAAAGTTGTCATATCTGCCCACTTTTTTCCCCTAAATCAAATTCAAACAAACAATATTCGAAACGTCAAGTCCGTCCTAAAAAATAACTCAAATCAACATTTTTGCAAAATGTTAAATATAAATTATGTTGTTGGCTCACTGTATATAAAATGTGTAATAATTTTAGTGATTTTTTATGATAGGGATGTTGACATTTTGTCAGCAGCTGCTGCCATTTTCTTCTCAAACTGCTGTGACCAGATWGTGCGACGCTGCTSTGTTTGTTCGCTTATTTCCTCTTTCGTAGTTATGTCTACGAATTTCAACAAACCATGCTTATGTCAGGTATTTAGCTACAGCCTCGTCTTCAACGTTTTAATTTTTCACCGTGCGTTTTGAAGAGCCACTTAATTAAAAATATAGGATCAAAGTAAATCACCTGAGTTTTTCTGACTCCACAAAGAGGTGAGCTGACACGAGAAACATTATTTTATCTGCCTTTGTACCAAATTCAATAATGATTTGAAACGCCGAAGAATTTCACATTTCACACGCTGTCACTGGTTGAGGAGCTTTGCTCCAAAACAGATGCCCACATGGTTTTGACATTGTTTTCATTTCCTGGCTTTCTAAGACACATTAAGTTGATTTTATGTTGCAGTTTACTGAGATGAACCTTGTAATATTATTTTATACCTTTTTCTGCTACTTTTGCATTGGATTTTCTGAAGTTTTATTAGTTTTTAGGTTACAAGATGCTTTCTACAAAAAACAGAATGTGAATCTCTTCCTAAAATTTCATGGTGATATCTTGAACACTAAGAAGGGAACTAGGAAGTTATGAGCAAAAATCAAAGGTGAAATGTTCACAAAGGCCTGATTGGTTCAGCTGTGAACTGCAGCAAGAAAACATGAACTGATTTCGCCTGARCAAACTAAAATAACTTCCTTCATGATTTTGGTGTTATTTTGCAGAGTTTTAATGTTTTTTTTTTCAAATATGCTGTCAGATTTGATATTGATGTTGGATAAAAATGTTATCCACACCTATTTATGGCATCATGAGATGCTGAGACTATTTGTATTTGGCAGATTTTGAAGGTAGCAATAAGTTGTTTTGAAGTTTAATGTTATTGATGCAAACTGATTTATTCAAACCTTCAATTCAATATATATTCTTTACACTATTCCAGATCTGACTCTGTTTTTTAATATATGCTTAAGGTTTTTTCACCTGAAACCTGAAAATAAATAAAGGTAGAAAGAAAGGAGGATTATTTGATTATTGGGTGGAATCTAGTTGAAATAACTCTGTAGGTCTATCCGTTTACACTGTAGAAGCACAGTAAATAACAATTGGTTTTTGTTGTGGATTTCTGATCTTTGTGAGTTGCACACTTTTGGGGTAAATTTTAGAACTGACAAATTTTGAAGAAATGGTCTTCAATTTCTCTCATCTAAGAGAATTCTTTGTGATTTTAGGTCTGCTACCTGAAAATCTCATTGCTTAAAAGTCCTGTAGAGACCACTGACCCATCTGTTACACAGCTAACAAAACCTGCTGCAGTTTGTTTCATTGTGGTGAAATCAGAATACACCATTATCTGCCTACTGCAGGGAATCCACACATCTGTACAGAGCAGACTGGTCTGAGCACAACTTTTTTTCTTTGCGTTTCTTACAATTTAGCTTGCTCTGTTATGTGACTAGGGTTGGGCATAATCGTATCGTGTGCAATTAATGGTCAGAAAGACATTAATCGATTATTTTTGGCACTTGACGATCAACACGATTAAAGTGCCTGTGAGGTCAAACTTTTTGTAATGCATACGAATGCATTTTTAGAAAGARGACATTGATAAAATATTGTAAAAGAAATTTCATGTCGCTGAGATGAACAGTTGCTGAGATATTTGCTTGTGAAGTTACAGGAAGTGATGTCAAAGAGGAAAGGCTGCATGTGAACAGAGCATTGCTACAACAGTCGACAACACAGACTGTAGAGAAGAATCTGATGTTTCTTTAGATTATTTTGAGTTACAATCAGAGAGATGAAGAAGAGTCAAAGTTCAAATAATATTGTTTCAATAAACAAAGACCAGAGAGTTTTCTTTGTTAAAGAGTTCCCCTTTGATGTCACTTCCTGTTTCACTTTGGCTGCGCCGAGTTTCAAAGAAAATGTGCCAGTTATGGGACAAAATGGGAAAAATTGTGTGTGTTGTTCCARCTTTCTKAAATATAAAGWTGTTTTCTTTGAYTTTTTGTATTTGAAGAAWATGCATGTCACAGGCACTTTAATGCCAYCAGTCRGTCCGCTCGGTGCTCCTCCACTTCAAATATGATGAACATTAAAAATAATAAAGTTCTGCAATTTATTTATCGATCAACACAATTTAAAACTTGTATAGCCTGAAGTCTGTAATTTTGACACAGTTTGGAACAGATTTTTACAAAGAGTAAACCTTTCCCACTAAATTGGTCATGTGACCAGGACACGCAGTCGTCCAGGGACTCCAGAGGATTAATCGTCAAATTAATCATTATTGTCTAAATACCACAATTAACTGTGATTAATTTTTTGCCAATATTGCCCAATCCTATATGTGACTGTGAAAAACTCCCAAATAATAAAAATAAAAAGAAGTGCAGCGACCTGAAAAACAAATTAACAGTTTGCTGAAAGAACGGTGTGTCTGAGGAGGGGGAGGAGAACAGCAGGAAACGGACCATCATTATGCTCCTCAGACTTTCTCTGACAAATCTGAACTCCTTTGTTCTGAAAGTAAAATCTGGATGTCTGCAGTTTTTGGGGCGTGTCAGACTGAGGGTTGAGTTTAAGGAACTTCTAGAATGATTTGACACAACATTCCCTGATCACCTCATCTTTAACAKGAAAGTAAAAATCACACACCAACACCATGACATTTCATATAATGAAGATCAGTCTGAAACTTGTATTATGTTTTATAAAAGTCAACATTTCACTCAGTGAAAGATGTGTTCATTTTCAAAAAGATCAGTGTTGTTCCAAATAAAGCTAGTGGTGTCAGTTCTTTAATAAAAGCCACAAAGACATCCTTTCAAATTTGTAATAGATATTTTATTAGCCATAAACTGCCCTCAGTCCCCTTGTCTCTGCATTTCAGCAGCTTTCATACTGTCTGGTAAAAAGGAACAAAAAAAAAGCAAATGAGAGGAATCGTGTGGCGCTCTCCCTCTCCCCGTCGCTATGACTTTGCACTTTCCTCCTTATTAGTGGAGGCGGACCTGCCGGTGTCCTATTGAGGACAGCAGCCGTGGTGGCGGCCCGAATCTGTGGCCAGAATCCATAATGAGAGGTTTAGAAAGAGAATGGATGGCCGTTTTGAATTTGCTTGGACATCGTACAAGCCTTAAACACTTTGGTTTAATGAAAATTAAAGATTCAAAAGCAAAGCATTTCAGATCAATCAGGCAAACAAGCCACAGGAGCTGAGCGGCGCAGTGGGCGCTGCGCTGCCTCAAATCAGCTGTGAGGATGGAAAACCAGATTAGTCACAGCCGAGGATAATTATAGAAACACTATGTTTTTAGAGAAAGGTTTGCTTAATTTTTCTTTAATGTGGACTACTCTGTGATTTATTGTCCCTGCTTCTAATTGGGGAAAAAAAGATCTTGAAAAAGGCTCGAGCCTGTACAATAAACCATTTTATTTGTGATCAATGCACATAGATTCTCAGTTTATCCCTCCTGATATCTGCAGATTACAGACAATACCCAGCATTCCATTTGACTAAGTGCTGTGCTGTTAACAAAATTGTTCTTGATTTTATCTGATTTATATTATGTAACTATATGAGGGCAGAGCATGGTGTTTGTATGAACCAAGAATTGTTGATTTCTGTTGACTAAACTGCAACGTGTCTGCCCATGTGGGTGGTCCTCCTTTCATCAGCACTTCTGTGGACAAAAAGGAAAAAAAAAAAAAGAACAGAATGTCCTGCTGAGAGCCTTCAGGCTGACGGCGACTGGCAGCTCAAACTGTCACTGCGAGGAGTCAAACGCGAGGAAGGGGAGGTGTGGAGAGGGAGAGGAGGAACATGACACGGGGAGGGTACAACAATCCCTCAGTGGGACAGCRGCGATGACATCAGAGGAGCAGCAGGAAGCGTCTCATCATGCAGGGACACGGGTGCAGCTTTCTTGTACGGTGAGACAAGTGACAAAGAATGACAAGTAACAACATTTCACTCGACAACAAAACATTGGAAAGTGTACTTTAAATGTAATCGAAATGCATCATGAACGCTGAGGGCTGAATTACTTTCAAAAAGGAAAGAAGCTGAAACTGAGTTGTTAAAGCTAAACCAATATTAGCTAAAAGCCAAAAGGCAAACTAAAAGCTTGACTAGCACACAGAAGTAATTAGATTGATAAAAGGAAAACACAATGGTGAATGAAGATGTACCAAAGCATACTGATTTGCTGCTGTTGCTTTAATGTTGTGATTTTATGCAATGAAGTGTATTTATTCATTTCAATTTTCAAAATGTTATTTATCACTATCCAGTGCACTGTGTCAAGTACGGAGGACCTAAACTGGCATAAATAGAAATAAAAGCAGAGACATATATAAGTGGACCAATAAATAAATAAATAAATATTCTGCATGGCTGTGCTGCCTCAGTTTAGACTAAAATTTAGTTTAAAACAAAAACAAGGAGGAAAACACTTACCTGTGTTTTAAACAAAGCTTTAAACCTTAAACTTTAAGCCAGGGGTGTCAAACTCCAGTCCTCGAGGGCCGCTATCCTGCATGTTTTAGAGGTTTTCTTGCTCCAACACACCTGATTTTGATCGCTGGGTGATTAACAGGCTTCTGCCCAATTTGAAGAGTTAATTCAATCACTGAATCAGGTGTGTTGGAGCTGGAAAACCTCTAAAACATGCAGGATAGCGGCCCTCGAGGACTGGAGTTTGACACCCCTGCTTTAAGCTAAACTGAGGCAGCACCAGCACACACAGTAGATCTGCACATAGATCTTATTCCCTTCTGTCTGTTGACCAATAGGAAAGGAGGTGATCCAAAAAGGCCCACCCACCTTTTTTGCATAATGAGGCAGAAATGCATGACATAAACTAAAAGCAGGAGACAGAGAAATGTAAAAGCAACACATGGAAATAAAGACTTGTGAGAAAATTATATATAAAAAATATATAATCATTTAATTTTATGTACAAGTGAAAGGAAAAACAAAAAATG